CCCTTTGTATCTACAGGGTGCATGCAAAATGCAACCCATTGAAATCAGCAGACGTTTAACATATGCATGATTCAGCCGTAATCAACCTCCAATGATACATAAACGTAATTGTAACGATAACACGAAATGATTTAATGATTGGCATTTTACGCGTTTTTCCGTTTAGTCAACATGCAAACGACTGCAATTTAGCACAGTAAATACTTAGTAGCGAGAGACTTGCCTAGCGGAAATCGAATTCGTGTAATAAAAATTAATGCCATAGAAATAGACCAAAAACTACAATTTTTAAATAATTTTACTGCACCCCAGAAAGTAAAATCTTTGTAATTCAATAGTTCGTTGTAAATTTCTAATATCATCATAAACGTGAGCACGTTATTTTTATGCAACTCTCCATAATCTGAAGGGTTCATTCCTAGTGTAAAGTATAGTGAAGTAAGTTAACTGACTGTAAAATTCTAATTTCGTCGTGGAGAGCGTACAGACAGTAGAGAAAGGCAAAGATCTTAGTCTTTTGACTGATTTTAAGCAATTCATCTTATTCACCTTGAAAGCAAAGAATAGAACCTTGTATAATATAGTTAGCATAATTAATGTTTGTATAAATAGTTAGTACAATTAAGGTATGTATAATGACTAGTTAATAGATGGAAGCTCGTGTACATAAGAGAGCATTTCTCAAGTAATTACGCTTTTTTAGTCATCCTGGACTGAATAATATATTACACCTTGGAAGCTCACTAAACATATTTTCTAAAGTTTTTGAATGTCTTGTTTATTTTATATCGTTAATACAGCGTCCATTCAAGGCTATCCACATGTACACAGTGCGTATCTATTTTAGCCACAAGTATCACAGGCTTGCATTTTCGCTACAAGTATTTCCGTTATACACCCATTTTTATCAGTGTAATTCAACTTTAAACAGTTCAAGTATTCCCGCAGTAATCGATCTGAGTAATTCCTTTCCTCTCGTAACAAACAACGGAGTTTCATAAGCTGACCATCATATTTCTTTAATGAAACTCTCTCATTATTTTCTGCCATCACAAGTTCTGTAAAGTGTCCATGGTGGTAGCGAATCAAAAGAGGAGTTTTGATACAATCCACAGAGTCAGACAACAGTGGTAAGTATATGCCACCAAGGTTCACACCAGCAATTTGGTCATCATAGTCACCACGATAAAAATTGGCACATATTACCAGAATTGGTCTTCGAAGAATATTAGCTAAGACAAATATATGAATCTCCTCAAGAGAGTAAAAACTTGGTGTTGTTGGAAGAGCGACTGTTTTCTTCCAGTCTTCGTTCCATTGCTCTACACCAAAATCCATTGGCGTACCAGCATTTTGATCCTCCAACTGCCTTTCGACTTCCAACTGCCAGCGTTGTCGATAAGTGCCTAAAATGAAGTTGAAATAAATAAGGACTTGTTTGTATGGAGTCGAGTTATCCGGCTAGCCGAGAAACTCCCTCAATCGGGTACGGTACCGCTCGCGTATTTGTTAACATAATTTTGCGTATGATGAGCGTATCGTTCTCGTATCATACGTTTATCGTTCTATTTTATACGCGTATCGTTTTTTTGAATACGCTGACAACGGCTGATATAGTCTGTCTGCTTACAGGACAATTGCTCGATGCTAATTCGCGGCTATTTTTAGTGTATTTCTGTCCTTCTTTATTTAATATTAGTAGCTATTCTTTCTTTGGAATAAGGTGATAAAGGTGTCCCCGCAGACATGAGAAAATAGTTTTAACACATGCGTATCCACGTCTGCGATCTCTGATAGTGTCCGTATTGAATAAAAAGAGGTTTCATTCGACAAAGCATTTTTTTGCTGTAAGATACGCAGATACGCTTATATCGTATTTTACTCGTTTGTGCGCTGAATCTAAAGCCTAGGCCACACTATCCTCCATATGGACGAAAAAGATGATTTGGCCTAACTTACTAACTTTTCCTACTTTACAATTCACGTATTAATCGGTAAAATTGAATTCATGGTAATGAATTCCTAGCCACACTATGGTGTGGCCTAAAGCCTAGGCCACACTCGTCCATATCGACGAAAATTAGAACGAAAACTGCCGCAACGAAAATCTTGAACGAAAATTTCGTTTTCGTGCAGATTAGAAGAGTTGAATTTTTGACCTTTTTCGTTAACGAAAACGCATGCAATTGGCTAATAATCTAAAACTTTACTACACAAAGATGGCAGGATGGCACGAGGTTTTAATAAATCTGATGTGAGAAATACAATTTGTCGTCACTCGCAAGTATTTTATGAGTCTGTTTTCTTTGTTCGGTTCTCGTAACTCTTTAATCAAATTGTTAAATTATCCCAGTCGATCACGTCGTTTATTAATTGGGTGAATCTAGTATCTTGCTAAATGCCTGCTTTCAACTTCAGAAGGAGTATCTTTTTCCAGAAGAAGACACGTTTTCTTTTTTGCTTGTTTTGTCACTGCAAAGGCTACTACATAGACACATCCAACAATAATACCGTTTACGTTTTAGCCGATCTTTGTAAACATGCGTGCAATTTTACGTCGTATCTGACATGTACTTCGTGCACGAATTTTCGTTTTGTTTTCGTTTTCGTGAATACAGCCGATAGTGTGGCCTAGGCTTTAATCTTTAAAATTTACAGAGCACCGTTCTCAAACGATTTATATATTACATATTTCTTTTTGTCACTTGCGTGTAAAGTCTATCAAGCAACAGTTGGCTATTTTGTATTTCTCGAGTCGACGAGGAACTTTGTTGTGAATGTGACCGAGTTTACAACGTAGTTTGATTCGATGGTTGATGCACATGCTATTAATAAACGTATATTCTATTCGTATGAATCGAAAACTATTTTAATAGAAGGCACTTTTTGTCGCGATATAATAAACGCCTATCATTCCCTTTCCATACACGTATCATTCTCGAATGGTTGTTTGGGGACGAGACAAACCTACTTAACTGCAAGTGGTGAAACAGTTACTGGTGTTGAAACTATCATGAATTTAAAACAAAATTGCTGCTCATTACGATGAACAAAGTTTTCTCAAGTATCACAGCGTTCATCCTTGTCTCGTTCATCCAACTCGTTCTCGTATCATACGTGTATCGTTCTCGTATCATACGCGTATCGTTCTCGTATCATACGCGTATCGTTCTCGTATCATACGCGTATCGTTCTCGTATCATACGTGTATCGTTCTCGTATCATACGTGTATCGTTCTCGTATCATACGTGTATCGTTCTCGTATCATACGTGTATCGTTCTCGTATCATACGTGTATCGTTCTCGTATCATACGTGTATCGTTCTCGTATCATACGTGTATCGTTCTCGTATCATACGTGTATCATTCTCGTATCATATCGTTCGTATCATACGTGTATCGTCTCGTATCATACGTGTATCGTTCGTATCATACGTATCATTCTCGTATCATACGTGTATCGTTCTCGTATCATAGTATCGTTCTCGTATCATACGTGTATGATACGAGAACGAGACAAATAATGCAGACATAAATACGTCTGCCAATCACAATTGAGAAAGGAGAGCGTTTTTACAAAAAGATGATTTGGCCTAACTTTCTAACTTTTCCTACTTTACAATTCACGTATTAATCGGAAAAATTCTCTGTATTACTTTACACCAATTAAGACACAAGTTATTATCTTAGATGTTGAAACTATCATGAATTCAGAGTTGGTAGCCATGCTTAACTCTCGATGTTGGTAAACTGAATTCATGGAAATCAACTCAAAACAAAAGCTAAATAGAAGAAAAGTCTCTAAAAGTAACATTAAAGTCGATAAAAATATTACACAGGTTTTAGAAAGTATAACATTATCCTGGATTTTTTTCGTATCTTTGACGTAACGTTATCGTATCATACATTTGAGAAACGTGAGCGTTACCTTACCTGTTAAATCATCGGTAAGAATTTGACAGATTGTGCTACTAATCATTTCCATAGTTTACGAAGACACCACGAAGCATTAGTCGGCATTCAATAATAAACACACTTACATTGTAACACTTAAATAGTCCGTGGCGATGACGTTTTTTGTTTGCATTCCGGGATATGTTCAATTCCATGCTGAGAAAAATTGCGGCTGAGGACATTTTCTCAAACTGAGAAAAATTGCGGCTGAGGACATTCTCTCAAACTGAGAAAAATTTCTCAGTTTTCGGACGTGGGCGATGACGTTTTTTTGCTTGCACTCCATGGTCTTTTGCATGAGCCAATCAAAATATGCTCGCCCTCACATACAATTACTTATTCATATAATGTCTTGGTGTTTGTGGAATTAACAAGCCTTCAATGAGGCTGAGGACATTTTACCTACAAGTATTTCCGTTATGCACCAGTCAATGTTGCTAAGTAACGTTTAAAAATATGATAATTTTGCTAATAACGACGCATTTGACAAATATTACACTAATATACTGTGGATTATTCCAAAAAGAGTCGCAGAATTTAAAATTTTCGCAAATCCAATTTTAGAAAAAAACAAATTTTTCATTTTTGGGAAAACATTTGGTCGGTCTGGGCCCGACCAGCCAGACCGCTAGCTACGCTACTGTTTGTCCGTAACTTCTCTACCCCTAAATCGACCAAGTCTTCCGTCCACCAAGTCCCGCTGCTCTTCGACGGTCATTTCCAACACTTTCATCAACTACTTCATCAAAGAAAATCAAAAGACCACCATCAAAAAAGATAAAGAAACATTGTATTGTTCACAAAGATTGTAAAATCACATCTATATTATTTTTCCATAACCAATAAATGTTTTATACATCAATTTAATAGTCAATTTCCTAGACAAAAAATGTGAGAGATCCTTCTTGATGAGAAGAAATCCACGAAAGATTTCATGGACTGTCCTTTACCGTAGAAAACACAAAAGGGCTCAGTTGAAGAGGTCTCCAAAAGAGAACGAGACGAAATGTTAAATTCCAAAGAGCCATCCAGGGTGCAACTCTCGAAACTTTTGGCCAAACGCAATCAAAAGCCTGAAGTAAGAAAAGCACAAAGAGAGCAGGCAATAAGGTATTAAAACAACTGTCTTGTGTCTTTAATATCTAAAATTACATCTTTTATGCTTGACTAGAAGATTTTTGATTTTGTTTCTCAGTGAAGATTCATTTTACCTACATTCCTACATTGTATGAGTGACAACTGTGAGAATATGAATTATAATCAGAGGAAAAATTGAAAATCCTCAAAGTTAAACTGAATCAGATTTTGAGAAAATTGATTATTTTGATGATTTAAAACATTTAGAGCTGCTAAAGATAAAATCAGGCAAAAGAAGGAGGCTAAAAGATGACAAAGGTATGTAAAGGTTATACCAATTACTCAACTATTGTAAAGTAAACTAGGTTGGCTTTCTCAGTGGAATTTGCTGTTGATAAACTGCTTTGAACAAAAATTTTCTGTTCAAACATTGAAATTAATATTTATTAAAACTTTGACTGTTTGTTTGTGTGTGGGCTATTTGTATGACAAACTTTTCATGACTAACTTTGGGCAAAATTATGACACATATTGTGAATTTAATTCCCTCACAAGTGAGTGATAAATTTCTTCATGAATTTCAATATTTATCATAGTTTTAATGATTCGATGAATCGTTGTCACTTTATATTGTGTATCATAAAATAGAAACAGTAAAACGTATGCAGTTAGTCTATAGCTATGTTTGCAAACCATTCAAAGCTCAACCAATTAAAATCAATGAATCAATCAAAGAGAATTTACAAATCAATCATGAATACATTTAGAGGAAGAATTAAAACTTTTGTTTAAATTTGTCTGTTTGCATTATGGTTATTTTGTAAAAGAAATAAAAGATGTTTTTTCATGTTTGCGCTGGCTTATGCAAACCTCAGAGACATTTGTGAGAACTCCCAAGCATGTGCAACCCTTGATGTTTGGTCTTGTGCTTGCAATGATCTGATCTTAATTTCTTGCAAGATCTTCTTGGTTTGCATTCACTTGTAAAAAACAGTAAGCATCTTTTATTTACTTCTTACATGAAGTAAACCATTCTTACTAAGATATCTCAATAACACTCATCATTTATTCAAGGCCGCACAACAACCAGTGAAGACAAAAGCTCAAACAAAACAAAAAGGTGGAAGAAGTACAGGTGGTGTTGGTGGAAAACGTTGAATGTAAATTATCACACATTTCACTATAATAAATGGTCATGGTTTAATGGTATTTGCATTTTTTTAGTTTTATGTTTTAATTCATGCTTCATTGCTCAATGTTGTGTAATCTGGTTGTGAATTAAGGATGAAAATTTGAATCACAGTTTCAGATGTGAAACATAACCTCCTCTGCCTCGTAATCCCCACCTAAACCTTCCCATACCCCTATCTGCCAAACAAATGAAACTGATCAAATCTTCACTTGTTTCATACAAGGCTGGTACCACTAAAATGAAACTTTTAACTTGTAGACTGATCAAATCTTCACTTGTTTCATACAAGGCTGGTACCACTAAAATGAAACTTTTAACTTGTAGACTGATCAAATCTTCACTTGTTTCATACAAGGCTGGTACCACTAAAATGAAACTTTTAACTTGTAGACTGATCAAATCTTCACTTGTTTCATACAAGGCTGGTACCACTAAAAATAAACATTTAACTTGTAGACTGATCAAATCTTCACTTGTTTCATACAAGGCTGGTACCACTAAAATAAACATTTAACTTGTAGACTGATCAAATCTTCACTTGTTTCATACAAGGTTGGTACCACTAAAACTAAACATTTAACTTGTAGACTGATTAAATCTTCACTTGTTTCATACAAGGCTGGTACCACTAAAACTAAACATTTAACTTGTAGACTGATCAAATCTTCACTTGTTTCATACAAGGCTGGTACCACTAAAACTAAACATTTAACTTGTAGACTGATCAAATCTTCACTTGTTTCATACAAGGCTGCTACCACCAAAACTAAACATTTAACTTGTACAATGATCAAATCTTCACTTGTTTCATACAAGGTTAGTACCACTAAAACTAAACATTTAACTTGTAGACTGATCAAATCTTCACTTGTTTCATACAAGGCTGCCACCATTAAAACTAAACATTTAACTTGTAGAATATATATTATGGTTGACAAATGTTGCGTGAAAGCATGAAAATATATTGAAACTTACCCTTTGTATCTACAGGGTGCATGCAAAATGCAACCCATTGAAATCAGCAGACGTTTAACTTTTGCATGATTCTTCAGCCGTAATCAACCTCCAATGAGACATAAACGTAATTGTAACGATAACACGAAAGGATTTAATGATTGGCAATTTCAATGTGCTGTAGTTACAATTCATACGATCTCTTTACGCGTTTTTCCGTTTAGTCAACATGCAAACGACTGTAATTTAGCACAGTAAATACTTAGTAGCGAGAGACTTGCCGAGCGGAAATCGAATTCGTGTAATAAAAATTAATGCCCAACATAAAGTTTTAATTAGAGCCATAGAAATAGACCAAAAACTACAAATTTTAAATAATTTTACTGCACCCCAGAAAGTAAAATATTTGTAATTCAATAGTTCGTGGTAAATTTGTAATATCATCATAAACGTGAGCACGTTATTTTTTGCAACTCTCCACAATCTGAAGGGTTCATTCCTAGTGTAAAGTATAGTGAAGTAAGTTAACTGACTGTAATTATTTAGTTGAACCGTACGTGATAAAGTATGCGCGTCTAAAAGCATCAGACACTTGGCAGAAATGGTTGAGCCCTTAGTCGAATTCTACACATTGAGGCTGAGGACTACAATCTGTCTAATTTTACCTTACTATACTTTACACTTGGAATGAACCCTTTAGACTGTGGAGAGTTGCAAATATAACGTGCTCAAGTTTATGATGCTATTACAATTTACCACGAACTATTGAGGAAGTACCAAGATTGTTTACTTTCTGTGGTGCAAATTAACATGTCGCGATTTGCAAAGCGCGATACATCGCGAGGTAAAAAGCTTTTGTGTTTACAATTTTCACATAAAGAATTACGTCAGCCAATCACGATCGAGATTGCACCAACATTGCATAATAATCGCTGATAATAATACATATTTCCCATTTCTGACTGGGAAAAGCCGAAAATATGTGGAAGTGTAGACGTAGAAATTGCCCATCTTCCTCTCAAAAAATTTCGGTGACGATTTACGAAAAGATGGTAACGAGGAACTACGTCAAGAATATGTGAGGTCGAGGACATTAAATGACTTTCATTCTATTAATTTGAAAGTCGGCAATGATCTAAATGTTGGTGTAATTCTGTTTGTCCTTGTTTTAAAATATGGGTTGTCACTCTTATGCTCTATTGTCACTTGGATGCTTCTTTGCTTTACTCCCCGTGAATGTCCGTCGATATGATATGTCGTAATTTAGAAGAGGAAGATGGAAATGTTCTTTTATAGTTCACTTCTAAATTTAATAATCTTAGCACAACCGATAGAAAGTTGCATATATTTACACCTCTGTGCTCTAAATTGTATGAAGTGTAACCATGATCTTGAGAGCTACGATAAGCAGGTAAAAGTTTAAGTAAACGATCTTAGGTGTATCAAAACTACAACCATTGAAATCAGCCGACGTTTAACTTTTGCATGATTCAGCTGTAATCGACTCCCAATAAGACATAAACGTCTTTGAAAGGAATTTAATGCTTGGCACTTGCAATGTTATAGTTCCTATAATTTTGTTTACACTTCTTTACGTTTAGTCATCATGTAAACGACAGCAATTTAGCATAGTAAATACTTGTTTTGTGTGTGGTTTTTTAAGCCATTTGTTATCAAACCGGTTTATATATGTAATAACAAACGCGTTGCATTATTTTAACTTTCTCAACGTACTGAATTACTGTGTATTTGAAAATCTTAAGAGTATACAAAGTTTACAGGCAGTCAAATTTATTTCAAAGAGTTATTATGGAGATTTGTGTGTCGTAGCTTTTGCTATTTACCACATTTATTACGCTGCGAGTCCTCAAAAGTGTATCGCGAATCGCGACACGTTAATCTGCACCGCAGAAAGTAAAATCTTTGTAATTCAATAGTTCGTGGTAAATTTGTAATATCATCATAAACGTGAGAACGTTATTTTTAAATTTGCACCTCTTCATAATCTGAAGGGTTCATTCCAAGTGTAAAGTATAGTGAAGTAAGTTAACTGTCTAACTGACTGTAAAAAACATAATGCTGACGACAGCTTCATTTTCAAAAAGATAGAAGATCATTTTCGCCGACTTTAGTGATGATAACTTGCTCATAGCTATACTTCATGTTGTATCAATAAAATATGTTTATCATACAGTATTTCCAATGACTAACATAATTGATCAAATTACATTATAATGTAAAATATTCTCTGCTGCTTAAAAAGTTGAGCTTAAGTTAACTTATTACAAATTATGCTCATTACACGCCAAACGAATACAGAGACATGACGTCAGTAAGCGTTCAACATGAGCCCGCAGTACTCTGATCGATTACTGCGGAAATATTTGAACTGTTGCAATTACGTTTATGTCTCATTAAGGCTATCCACATGCACACATTGCGTACTTATTTTAGCCACAAGTATCACAGGCTTACATTTGCGCTACAAGTATTTCCATTATACACCCATTTTCATCAGTGTAATTCAACTTTAAGCAGTTCAAATATTCCCGCAGTAATCGATCAGAGTAATTCCTTTCCTCTGGTAACAAAAAACGGACTTTCATAGGCTGACCATCATGTTTCATTAATGGTACTCTCTCCTTATTTTCTGCCATCACAAATTCTGTAAACTGTCCATGCTGGTAGCCAATCAGAGAGGTTTTGATACAATCCACCGAATCAGATAACAATGGTAAGTATATGCCATCAAGGTTTACACCAGCAATTTGGTCATCACAGTCACCATGATGAGAATCGTCACATATTACCAGAATGGGTCTTCGAAGAACATTAGCTAAGGCAAATATATGAATCCCCTCGAGACAGTAAAAACTTGGTGTTGTTGTAAGGGCGACTGTTTTCTTCCAGTCTTCACTCCACTGCTCGACACCAAAATCCATTGGTGTACCAGCATTTTGATCGTCCAACTGCCTTTCGACTTCCAACTGCCAGCGTTGTCGATAAGTGCCTAAAATGAAGTTTAAATGAATAAGGACTTATTTGTTCTTCGCGTGTTCCTGATCACACACCCGAGTTCCTAACCTGTCACATCTTTGGTGAGGATTTGACAGATTGTTTTTATCAGACAACCACAAGCGAAAATAAGTGTGCTACAAATTATTTCCATAATCTGTTGACAATGGCCGATCAACTATATAAGTGTTATGCATAGACTTCGTACAAACCACTATATATATTGCGTTGGATGGTGCAGACTAGCTGTTCCGAAATCTGTGGAAATTACAAATGGCCGATCGCAACTCTTGGATGCATGTCGCTAGTCTTGATGTTTGTGGAATTAACAACCCTTCACTGAGGCTGAGAAACATTATCGGACAAACTCTTATTAAAGATCGAACAGGTTTGAAATGTTGCTCGCTTGACCTTGTGTCCAGAACAGAATTATCTGGTAACTGCTATAGGGTTTAGCACCTTAAACGAAGTTTGTGACCTACCCACCGAGAAATGCACCGCCCAACAAATGCGTGTATTCATTTCAACTTCATTTTAGGCACTTATCAAAAACGTTGGCAGTCCGACTTGGAGGATGAGAATGGTGCAAGTCCAATGGATATTGGCATTGAGCAATGGAGCGAAGACTGGAAGAAAACAGTCGCTCTTCCAACAACAACAAAATCAACTACACACAACAGTTTTTACTGTCTTGAGGGGATTCATTTATTTGCCTTGGCTAATTTTCTTCGAAGACCAATTCTGGTAATATGTGACGATTTTCATCGTGGTGACTATGATGAACCAATTGCTGGTGTAAACCTTGGTGGCATATACTTACCACTGTTGTCTGACTCCGTAGATTGTATAAAAAACCCCTCTTTCCATTCGCTACCACCATGGACACTTTACAGAACTTGTGAAGACAGAAAATAATGAGAGAGTATCTTTAATGAAATATGATGGTCAGCCTATGAAACTCCGTTGTTTGTTACCAGAGGAAAGCAATTTCTCAGATCGATTACTGCGGGAATACTTGAACTGTTTAAAGTTGAATTACACTGATGAAAATGGGTGTATAACGGAAATACTTTTTGCGAAAATGCAAGCCTGTTATACTTGCGGCTAAAATAAATACGCAATGTGTGCATTTGGATAGCCTTTATGACACAAAAAAGTAGTTGCAACTAAAATTATGCTAACTTTATTATACAAGGTTCTATTCTTTGCTTTCAAGGCGAATATGACGAATTGTGTAAATTCAGTCAAAAGACTCAGATCTTTGTCTTTCTCTACTGTCTGTACGCTCTCTCTCAAATTGCATATCCACGACGAAATTAGAATTTTACAGTCATTTAACTTACTTCACTATACTTTACACTTGGAATGAACCCTTCAGACTATGGGGAGCTGCAAAAAATAACGTGCTCACGTTTATGATGATATTACAAATTTACCACGAACTATTGAATTACAAAGATTTTACTTTCTGTGGTGCAAATTAACATGTCGCGACTCGCGATACACTTTTGATGACTTGCAGCGTAATAAATGTGGTAAATAGCAAAAGCTACGACACACAAATCTCCATAACTTAAATCTTTGAAATAAATTTCGACTGCCTGTATAACTTTGTATACTCTTAAGATTTTCAAATACACAGTAATTCAGTAATTTGAGAAAGTTAAAATAATGCAACGCGTTTGTTATTACATATAGAAACCGGTTTGATACGAAATGGCTTAATAAACCACATACAAAACAAGTATTTATTGTGATAAATTGCGGTCGTTTACATGATGAATAAACGGAAAAAAGTGTAAACAAAATCATAGGAACTATAACATTGCTCGTGGTAAATTTGTAATAGCATCATAAATTTGAACACGTTATATTTTGCAACTCTCCAAAGTCGGAACGATTCATTCCAAGTGTAAAGTATAGTAAAGTAAAATTAGACAGAAATCGTGGCCAGAGATTTGCCAGCCGGAAAGCGAATTTTCAATATGAACATAATAGCCCAACATAAGACTTTTAAAAAAGCCATCACAATAATAAAATAGAGAAGGATTTATTAATGACGTTTTTATTTCTTGTAACAATTTGTGTTGACATTGTCGATAGGCGCTAGAGGGTCACAATCTGCGATTAACAACCTTAAACCATAGGAATCTTGGTATTATCGAGCGCTTCTTACACGTAATAAGGAACACCAGGTCGAGTTTGGCTTTTCCAAGCTTGAGTTCAAGACGCTGGAATTTCCTGAACGCTTCGAGTGCTTCGTTTTTGTAGCGTTTATTTAAAATCGTGGCCAGAGATTTGCCAGAGGGAAAGCGAATTTTCAATATGAACATAATAGCCCAACATAAGTCTTTTAAAACAAAATTGTTACAAATTGTTACATGAAGAAATAAAAACGTTATTAATAAATCCTTCTCTATTTTATTATTGTGATGGCTTTTTTAGAGGGCTCTGCATTACACCATCAAATAAGGCAATATCATGGCCGCATCACCTGCATGGCTGTATGTAAATAATGGCGAAAGAAGACAGCCAATTTGGTCGGCACCGCGTTGTTTCTCTTTTGTAAGAGGCAACGAAATTGATTGGTAACATAAAATAGTTCATATAATCGTATGAAGCATGGCGGAAGCTTCTGCAATTGAGGTGAATCGCCAACAAATAAGAACAGAACTGCTTAATATTTTTAATTCAACAATACGGCTTTGCTAGGAAATGTTGATCAAAATATTCTTGATTGGCTTGAATAACGTTTAGATTGGATACACAACATTGTTGTACGATATGTCGATTTGCAAATCGTAGACGAGAGAGTTCTTGACTGTTTACAATTGGCCATGGAATGTTTGCACCGAAATCCCGACAGTTCAAGGATAGTGTCGACGCAAACAATCTTCAGTGGCGAGAGAGGAAGGCCACGGATTGAAATTCCGTTTGAACAGCTTCAATTTTCATCTGATGCGCGATATATTTTTTGCTACTTTGGCTAGCAATATTGTGATGCATCACACGACATCACACAATCACACTCGAATGACGTAATGTCCGCAGTGTCGTATTCGTCTTTCTCCCGAAAATACTCGATGAAAACTCTCCTCACTGACAATTTAACACATTCCGTTTATTTTTACGTCTTAATGCTCAATAATTCGAGCGAAAAAAGTTTGCAAAACACTTGCAAATATCGAGCAAGAGTCTGCCATTATACTTTTTTATTTACAATTTTGCATGGACAATTATATGATATGTCACCTATAGCAGTGTAGGTAGGTTCTTAGCCAATTGCAATCGAGATTGCTTAATATGCATAATAATAGTATTTCCCATGACTTCTGACTGGGAAAAGCCAAAGTCATTTCTCACTGGATCACTGGGGAAAGCCGAAATCATTTCTGACTAGGAAAAGCTGAAAATATGTCGAAGCGCAGGCGTAACAATTGTCAATCGGTTGACGATTTGCGAAAAGATGTCAACGAGGAACTACATCAAGAATATGTGGGGTTGAGGATATTAAGTGATATCCAATTTATTAATTTGAAAGTATGCAATGATCTGAATGTTGATGTAATTCTGTTTATTCTTGTTTTGAAATATGGGTTGTCACTTGTGTGCTCTATTGCCAATGTTGCGTCTTCTTTGCTTGTACTCCCCGTGAATGTACGTAAAGAAGTGTTGGCTTTGGTATGTCTCAATTTAGAAGAACAAGATGTAAATGTTCTTTTACAGTCCGCTTCTAAATTAAAAGTTCCTAGTACAACCGATAGGAAGTGGCATGTATTTACACCTCCATGCTCCAAATGTATTAAGTGCAACCATGATCTTGTGAGCTACAATAAGCCAGTAAAAGTTCAGGTACACGATCTTTCTGGAACTACCGATGGAGTGAAAGTTTCGCTTAGATGCAATCGCTGTAATTTGCTTTATGGATATTCCAAGTACGGTAATGGAAAAGATGGCTGGATGTTATATCCCGAACAAAGAAAAATGATCGAGGCTACGGATCTCTGTTTTGTTGATTCAACTTTGCTTCAGTGGCAGCTGTCACTCGTAAGTTACAATATAATCACTTGATTAATTAATGTTAAAATAGCAAGTAGATTTTACAAATGAAACATGTTTTCTATAGTTGTCATTCGTGGGTATCATTTAACGGTTTTCTGAAGCGTTTAATGAAGTATACAATGGCAGTAAGAGAACGATATGTTGTAGATCTGTATTACTGTTATCACGTTGTTACAGTTTTTGATGGTAAGCATTATTTGCGTTTTATATAAAGATTTTGGAGAGAAACAAGTTGCTGCTTCATTTTGGGTCGGCGAGATAGAGAATGAGTTGAGGGAATTGGGGCAACTGGACTTTTTTGGTTTGCTTAAAGAAGATGGGGACTCTTCTAGGGTTCTAGAACAAATCGACAAAATTAGGGCGAGAAGTTTGTACGAGCATACATCAGATGATTGTTCTGATACTTGCAAAGAGCGCGGTAAGTTAGATGCAATTGTATTTTAAAATTAGTTTAAAAGCTATAAATATATTCTATTGGAAAATAGCTGTGATTCTCATCAGGCTAAGATATTTTCGTAATCAAACTTATAGGATGTGGAAGGCTATGGGTTGCCGATGGAATATGGAAATTAATGTTTCCTCATTGCATGATGCGTAGAAAGGTACTTATCTTAGTTTTATATAAAATTACTTTTCGTAACTTAATAATATTACATGAAATTGTTTTCAGAATTTTGTAAAAGGTATTCCATTGCTGAACTATCCCAATGTATGCACTGAGTCGCCTCAGCATGGAAAGGCATTCTGCGAACAGCATGTGCAATATTTGGAAAAAAACTTCCCTAATGTACCCACTAGTGTGCGTGGATTTTTAAGATATTGTGGTGTAAAGCCAAGTAACGTAGGTATGTACTCCAAAATTGTCATGACTATAATCATGCTTGAGAATAAAGTCCGATTTTTCATGATCAATTCGAGATACATTAACAGAGCTTTTACACTTAATCACAACTGCTCTTGCTTTGGTATATAGTATTTTGCAGGGAAATTGGTACCCCTTTCTCTAAATTTATCTCAATGATATGTGTATTACAGAGCTGACAGAAAATTACTGCAAAGAATTACTCTATTTTATAGGTGAAGAATTGATTGACGACACAGGTCTGCTTTCTAACAATGACGTGTCAAAAATGGACGAAACACTGGGAAAGCTTGATAAAGATGACGACACTTTTCCAGTAGGAAATAGTGTTGTGGAGTCACAAGGTGTATTTGTCTAAAATTTGTTTATTTCACAATATGAAAAACAGTTTTACATTGTAGCTAATATAGTAATATATATCAGTGAAACCTAAATTTTCCTACTAACGTAAAAGTGGTCGTTGATGACAGTGTGTTATAAAGCAGGTTTGTGAATGACGGCATGAATTTGAATTTTTTTAACTACATCCATATTATATATATGATGAAATTTCAATACATTGGTACCGATAATTAATAACTTATTATTTTTTTAAGATAGAAAAATAACTTTTTATGACAGCATTTGGATTATAGTTATACATGCACGCGTGATGGTGGGGAAATTGTTACTTTGGATTATTTTGATTTTGCGTGCTTTTTCTTTGCCTTCTCGCACTTTCAATGTTTATAAAAGTGTAGCGACAAAAGTTTCAGGCCTCAAGTCTCAAAGTCATTCTTTTGTAAATGAAAACCAAATCTCTTGACAAATTTCTTGTCGGTTAGAACTTAGAAAGCCTTGTGTAGGTGTTTCATTCTTTTTGAACAATGCATGGAACAACAAAGCAGTGTATTGTGTGTCGTTTCTAAACACAATTGATAACTAGTGCTAACGCTAATTTGTACCATATAGGCAATGCTGAGTTCGTTAATAATGAGCCAGATGCAATTAAAGCTATTTTAAGAGATTGTGTTGAACCAACAAAAACAAAATGCAATAAGGAAACTGGGGGAAAACAAAGACTTCAAAAGTGGTCAAGAGGGCATTTGTTTATAGTTAGAGGAGGAGGAATAATCTATAAATGGAGTCCTCTTTATAGGTAAGCACAGAGAATGCTTGACAAAAGCGCATCTTCAGAAAAACTTTGTATTTATTATACATTTACATAACAATTAATTTTTTTCAGATCTGAAAGCCCTTCTCAAGTGTTTTTGATAACTATTTCAATTAATAGTTTTTAATAATTATTGGGGTGTTTTGCAAGTGTTGTAACGAAGGGCTGAGGGTTTAGCATTGAAATAGCACCTTTGATTATGGAGCCATTACGATAAATTGAGTATTTGTAATCGTTGTTAACATTATATACGAAGAAAAATTATCAGTTAAGTGCAGAAATTTGATGAATGTACGAAGTGCATATCGACATTTATGAGTAAGTGAACATATTACTTTATTACTAAACCAATACAATTCTGTTGATATCAAGACTCAACAAACTGTGCTAATTTAAACATTACAACGACAATATTTCTAGTTCGTGGAAACAAAATTTGTTAAAAAACTGTTTGTTAAATTTGTTAAAACACGCAAACTGTCTATTCTGACAAAAGCATTTCCTTCTTCTTCAAACATTTATGACAAAGACCCTGATCTTCTTCTGTACCAAAACATCCACAACCTTTAGTTACACATGGTATCAACTTTGATGGTCGCCTTTTTGCTGGTGATGAAGGCGCTGAAATACTTTGTCTCCAAACAATTGGCTAAAGATAAAAAGGAACTGTCCTATAGATGGTATTGCAATGTTGGTAAATGATTTTTAGCAAAAATGAATACAATTTATTGATTTCTAGAGATTGTGTGAGAAATTTCTTTGTTTAGTTAATTCAACAACAAATATTTACCTGATAATATTGGGGTTCATTCACATAATGAAGTCTGTTGAAATCATGATTTGTATTCTTTTGCTGTTGTGCTATTTGCCAGTTCCTTCTAGCTCGTTCTTGTTCAGCTTTGATCTTCTTTTCAGACTCTAAGTCATATTCAAGTTGCAATGCCTTTGCGTAACATTGTGAACACAAGTTATCATTCTCTGGGATGCCGAAGAATTGACATTCTTCAGTCAGACATTTTGTCTTGACTGCTTCCACATGGGATACTGATTTTCGCCTGGATAAGTGAAGATAGTGTTGATAACATAGTTGACTTTTGTTGGTCACAGCCATATCTGGTCCATTTAATTGTGAATTTGGCAAAACATAGCCAGAATTTGAACGAGATACAGCTGGTTGTGTGACCACACTTGCATGAACCTGCTCAAAAGTTTTATCATCTTCTGTTCCATTGTTGATAGTCCTTTCAATTGTGTTGTAGTTTATTGTTGATGAGAATGGTTCTACATGATTTTTTGTTATTTGGTGAATATTATATATTTCTTTGTAGCAATCATAACACAGGCCATGTAAGTTAACATTTGCTTTGTTCACACAGTTATTATAACATCTATCATTAGGTGGTGCTGATGGGGTAACCATGTGAGGCCCCTCCTCCAATAATGCATGCAATTTGGTGAAACAGGTAGAACATAGGCCTTCATAATCTGGGTTGGCAGTGTAACCACAGCCAGGAGAAGTACAAATACGGATGTTGTCTGTGTTTCTACATTGATGACAATAATTGCTTTCAGCACTGGCAATGTTTCTGCAGTTAATCTTTGCACAGGGTTTATGCTCCTTACTATTTTTAAATTGGTCTTCATGATGTGTTGAATATAATGTGTTTGTACTTTGATCATTAAGTGATAGCTGTTTCATTGCCAATGTTTCCAAGTATATATGTTCCATTGATTTGAAATATCGTTTTAACATTCTATCAAGATGTGGATCTTGTTCAAAAGCTTCCAATTTAGCTACAAGTATTTCCATTATACACCCATTTTCATCAGTGTAATCTAACTTTAAACAGTTCAAATATTCCCGTAGTAATCGATCAGAGTAATTGCTTTCCTCTGGTAACAAAGAATGAAGTTTCATAGGCTGGCCATCATATTTAGTTAATGGTATTCCCATCACCAATTTGTGATTATCCAATGCATGCCCTCTCTCATTATTTTCTGCCATCACAAGTGCTGTAAAGTGTCCATGGTGATAGCCAATCAGAAGAGGAGTTTTGATACAATCCACAGAGTCTGACAACAGTGGTAAGTATATGCCACCAAGGTTCACACCAGCAATTGGTTCATCATAGTCACCACGATGAAAATTGTCACATATTATCAGAATTGGTCTTCGAAGAACATTAGCTAAGGCAAATATATGAATTTCCTCTAGAAAGTGGAAGCTATGGTTTTTGATTGATTTTGCTGTTGATGCCAGAGCAACTGTTTTCTTCCAGTCTTCGCTCCATTGCTCAATGCCAATATCCATTGGACTTCCACTATTCTGACCCTCCAACTGCCTTTCCACTTCCGACTGCCAGCGTTCTCGATACACTCCTGTAATAAAGATCAAATGAGAATTAAATATACATTATCAAAGCCACAATTTAAAAGCGAGCAACATTTTCAAACCTGTTTGATCTTCAATAAGAACTTGATAAACAGTTTTTCTCAGCGTTAATCTTCGGTCATGAATACCCCACATACCAAGTGAAGCCGCATGCATCAAACAATTTCCATCTCCCAAGGTGTTTATAGGAATAAACTTAGGTAGAATTTTACACCAGTTGAGAGACCTGTTGTTTTCCAACTCATTTTCAAGGGCAATGTTCACTAAAGCTGTGAAAATATATTCGCAAAGATCTTTATTCAAGCGAGAAAAAGCCGGGAATAGGAAAGTGTATCGCGGTGATGTTAATAGGAATCGATGTCTGTCTTGATCTGCAGGGATAGTGACGTCCCTGTCAATTGAGTCACGAATAATTTCCGAAGTTGCAACATCTATTGAAGAAATACTTCTTTGCAGTTCCATTGCGACTGGGATCCCTGTTATCAAAAGCATGTAAATTATTTATTAGAAATTACTTAAATTTGCAATTCAAAGTGTATCAAAAATCGTATCTTGAAAAACGGATTGCAATTTGTAACAAAACATCTGCCATCGGAAAATACGTCAATTCGTTTAAATCACATGATCAAAATGTTTTACCAAGAAAAGTTTCACTCTTACCTTTGATGTTGCGTGCGGTTGTGCTTTCCTTTGAAAAATACAATGGGCGTTCTGACAAGTAAACTTCCCTGCCTTGATATGATCAAATCTTTTCTTTTTAATCTGCTGTTTCTTCTTTAGCACTATGATTTGGTAAAATGAGAATGCTACTATCAATTTATACAACACAACAACAGGAACATTCAAGGTTACGGTTCGTTAACTTATGATTCCCCGTAAATAGTGTTCTGTTTATAACATCATACAGGATTTAGGGGAAATCCCTTTGAATACGTAATGTCTTATACATGTAACAAGTGGGGGATTCGGACAGACCAAAAATGGTCAAAACAATATTAGATTAGGGATTACAACTAAGTTCTTGTTTGTTTGAAACAGCTGTTTTAGTTTCCATTAGTACAATACGTTTAGATTGTTTCAGGTTATTTTTTCGAATTCGAAATTACAAATTTGTCATGTAAACTTTTCTGTGGTCGATCGACCACCAGTTATGTTTTGTCAGCGTGATTGTGTGAATAACCAGAAGCGAGAAGATTATGTCTTATTGTGAAATATGCTTCGGATAATTTTCGACATAACAAGGCCAGTTCGTCTGCATATGTATTCTTATACTTTACAACAAAAATTTCGTTAGTCTCAACGAAAGGCACTTAAATAAAAAAGACGATTTACGATTTTCATACAATTTACCTCGGAATGATATCAATGGCACTCCTAATTCCTAAATGCGTGGTATTTTGGCCTTTCCTGAACAGCACTCCATAATTCGTGCATTTATTCACAATTTTACTTCGACAACAATGACAGAGCAAAGGAATTTAATTTCACATGCTAACTGCTCCCTGTTACGATACATTTTATCTTCAACATGTAAAATTAAGTTCATTAATGATAGTGAAAAAATGTCATCTATATCAAATTAGAAAATTATTTATCGGACAATTGAATTTTGATACTGAAACTCTTTGTTAAGTTGGTTTCCTGCATGTTTTAGTCGATTATTTTCATTTCCAGCGTGGATTAATCGAAAGTTGAAAATGACATATACATTAATTTGTCGATATATATGTCAGAACATAGAAAAAGCGTCAGTCACTTTGTCGAAATACCAAAATATTGTCGAACATAAAAGTTAAAATAGGTTCGTCACTGGTAATTGCTCTATAGACAATTGGCCAACGTGTTATTTTTGGCTCTAATTGTACATGGATTTGAATAACTATTCTATAAAATTGCAAATTTCTCGATGGAAGATTCTATTCTGGAAGAAATTTATGGAATGTGTAAATTAAAATATCGCCTGAAGAAATTCTGTTTATAAAAAAATACAGTTTTGCAGCAAACGATAAGAAATTGTTGACTCCGTTCACACGAAGCTAGAATACCAGGAGAGTTTCATATTTCATACAACGCTCTAAGAGTTTCCTTCCGTTTCGTTGTTCTCATTGCTTTCACATGACACAATTAAAAGCAGGTTTCAAGTTGCTATTGTGTTTCAATCCAACCCGGTTATATGCACATGAAAAACATGTGACTTGGACGTGATTAGAACTCCCACCTTCGGGATTCTAGCTCGCCCCTCTACCTGTTGAATTACCAAGCCCACAGGGATTGAAGATGAGTCAAATCACTTTTTTTAAACTGCGTATGGACGAGAGATTCTCGCCACTATAGCACCGTGTTTCGACTTTATTCCAAAGCCATCATCAGAGAATATACATAATATATTAAGTTGCTATTGAGTATTGCATTGTTTTTTACCAGAATAGAAGTTACATGTTTGTAAATGTAGATCGTCCAGGTTGGTATAGTCCTGACAAGGACTGTTTTTGTTGTTGTTGACTGACGTTTCGACAACCTTAGCGGTAATCATCTTCCGAGTCAAATGAGAAGTAAACGTCAGGTTAGCCGTATTTGTTATCTGGTTCTTACGTCATTGTATTGTGTGAAATACAAGTGTAAAATTTTTACTGATTATGTTTATCGCTGAGTTTGAATCTTCTAGCCTGTCATTTTAACAAACCCAAACCGGTGAGAGCAACTTTCCCGTAAGATTTCCATCATACCTGACGTATATGAAAATCAGTATTTTGCCTTGGCAGGCAGGGGGTGGGTGGGGGGTAGCAGGTGGTATAACATGCCATTGACCAATAATAAAAATACATTGAATGTAAACTAGGAACTAAACTTAAAATAGGAATATTATCATTCCTTTGTTAGTATTGTGCAGGTTGGTGGTATTGTGCTTTGCATCGATCTAAAATTAAGTTTATTCAATGTTATGCTTTGTAATCATTTGAATTACCGCTGAACGCAATCACGGGCGATCGTCGTGAAATTTTGTTGCAAAGTCCTTTCAAACGAGATGGCTGAAAATCGCAGAGGGAAGGTTGCGATTATAGGGAGGTTAGTTTATTCAACTGTAGACTGAAGACCGCTTATTTCGTTCTGCCAGGCATATCTGGCTGTTCATTGTTCACTTAATGGAAAAACAATTGATTTCTAAAGATACGTATTAATAATAACAAGGTCGTGGATTGATTGCTTCTGGTTTTAAATGAACACATTACCATATATGATACTGCAAATATATTTGTTGAAAACTCGAAAACCGAGTAGACTGATGGCCAACCTTGCTTTTAGCTTCTTGTTTCATAAATATATTTAAGAACATCACATGAGCAATATTATGCGAATATTGAGGAAATAAGGAAATTAAGGGAGAAAAAAACTACCAACTAGCAGCAATAGTCGATTCAGATATGAGATTTGTTCTCCAAATTACATAGTAAATTGTGAAACAGGAAACTCAGGGTTTTGTCAACAATGGGATAATTTTCTCATCCTGGAGCCCGCTGCATGAAGCCTGGATAGTGTCATCCATTAGATAGCAAAAATTTTCAAACTTGTAGAAAAGGTGTTTATATTTTTCTCATGATAAAGAAATTTTTGTAATCTTTGAAACAATATTTTATTTCAGTGATTGCACAGTTCAAATAGTATAATTTTCTCCTATAGGAGATTTTATGAACATTCAGAAAAATTTGCCATCCAGTGGATAATGCTATCCAGGCTTCGTGCAACCGGCCCTTGGTTAATTGAATTTAATTATAATACAATTTGACATTCAACTGCACTTCAATACTTCATCTAAGTTTTTTTATTCCTTAGTGGTATGATTGGAAAATCCTGGTCTGTGGTAAGTTAAATAGTTCAACATTATTTTGATTTTGAAAAATCACTATTATTGTTAGTTTGACTTTTGTTTTTATCCTTCCAGTTGTTTTGTCGTGCAGGCTACGAAGTCTACCTTTACGACATTGATGAAAAACAAGTGGATAGTGGATTATCCGGAATTCTTGAATCCTTGAAGGAATTCGAAAGCAAAGGGCTGCTAAAGAATTCATTCATAAAGTCTGCAGATGATGCATTTAAGTTAGTTCATGGCTGTCTTGATCTAGCGAAGACAGTTGATGGAGCAATATATGTTCAAGTAGGTTTGATATTGAAGTGATTCTTTTCACGGATGGATTTAGGGAAGGTAGCGGAGTGTGCAGGCCCGCTCTAGATTTGGCTAGAATCCCATACAAATACCCTAAAATCACTTACTGAAATTAAATCCAAACTACTAACTGACGGACATCTTATGAAAACTAAGACACCCTCCCCTCCCCCCCTTAAGAACCTCATCCTGAATCTGTCCCTGATTCTTTTGATAGGATAGAAATAGATTATATGTTTGTTGTTTGTTGAATGATTATCTTGTTACTATACCTCAACAATGTGATGTTATTATCTATGATATTAAGATATGAAAGAAACTAGAACTGTGTTTTGTAATATCATCATAGTCTACAGCTAATCTTATAGTTCAGTTTGTAGAACTTTGGATACAATGATTATCTTGTTACTATACCTGAGTACATCACAACAACGTGATGTTTTTATCTATGATTTTAAAATATGAAAGAAACTAGAACTGTGTTTTGAAATAGCATCATAGGCCACAGTTAATCTTGTAGTTTAGTTGGTAGAACATTGAAGACAACAAGGCAAAAATTACAGTTTTGAATCTCTAGTTGCAATTTTCAAGTTATTTCTGTAGACCCTTCACCCATATAATTTTCTAAAATTATTAGAAAAACTTAAATGCAACGTTTTCTCATTCGAAAGATAGTTTGGATTTTCACCCCTCCCCAATCGTAATCGATTTGCTTCGTTGTGTGACGTACTTTATTCATGAAATTACTTCAACTTTGCAGGAAAATGCGCCCGAGAATGTAAATATCAAAAAGAAGGTTTTTGAAAATCTCGACAATGTGATCAAAGATGACCAGACAATTCTCGCAAGTTCATCTTCTTGTATTGTACCATCACGCTTTTCAGAACATCTCAATCATCGTAAACAATGCGTCGTTGCACATCCGGTAAGATACGTAAACAATGTTTAGTTGCACATCCGGTAAGATACGTAAACAATGTTTAGTTGCACATCCGGTAAGATACGTAAACAATGTTTAGTTGCACATCCGGTAAGATACGTAAACAATGTTTAGTTGCACATCCGGTAAGATACGTAAACAATATTTCGTTGCACATCCGGAAAAATTAGTAAACAATATTTCGTTGCACATCCGGAAAAATTAGTAAACAATGCGTCGTTGCACATCCGGTGAGATACGTACTTAGTCATGTTTCTGTTCAGGTTGATCACAACGGCATAAAAATTATACAGATTTTTCATTGTACTTTGTGTTGTTTTAACTCAAAGTAAGTCATGAACTCTTCACGTGATCAGGGACACACAGCCTGAAAAAATGGATGCATGTTTTAATTCGTTGCCAACTTTTGTAGAATCAGTATTTGATGGAAAAAGCGCAAAATTTATAAGCAAACTAATGATTTTATTCTTCTACTAGTTTCTGGTTCGACGTTTTATACATATTTCACTTAAGTTGTGGGGGGGTCCCCCCCATGATGTGTGCCTCTGAGTGCGATCTTTTTTGAAGAATGATCGGCTAGAAGTCATTTAGGCTCAAATCTATGATTATCGAATTACCTCACCTGAAAAATTATAGGGGAGTCGCCCCCCTGATGTGTGCCTCTGAGTGCGATCTTTTTTGAAGAATGATCGGCTAGAAGACATTTTGGGTTCAAATCTATGATTATCGAATTACTTACCTCACCTGAAAGGCAACATTCATTGTACGAATTGGGAGTTCGTCGTGTAAATTGTTGTGTACATCTTGGCAATGCAAATGTTATTGATATTTTTTGAAGGTGATTAAATAACCGTTCTACGTGAAAGTTGTCACAGTGGAATTAGTTGATAAGTAAGAATCGTGCGATTAGTTGATCGGTTGAACTAACCATTTTGAACAACTAACACCAATTTCTCAGTGCAATGACAAAGTATTATGAAAACGTTTTCATACACCACCAGTCCACTACACTACTCTCACGATAAACAACTATGTATAATTTGTAGTCCCCGAAACGACGGCGCCACAATATTGAACCTGGGGCGAGCTACGACTTATATTTTTTAAATTTACTGCGTCATAGTTGGTCTCAAGTTAGGCTAAAATGTATAAATGTTGGCAAAAACTTTATACTGAGGAAAAGGTGTGGCTCAACACCCCACCCCCCTTTAAGGGCCTAGTCCCCCTTCAGGGCCTGTGCCTGCCTTATAACCTGAAATTCTCCTAATATTTACTGTATGTAAAATAGCATCGCCAGAATTCTATTTCAAGTTCTTTACCCTAGGTAAACCCACCTCACTTTGTCCCACTTGTTGAGATTGTCCCCGCTCCATGGACGGATCCTGATGTTGTCTCAAGAACTCGTTCATTGATGAAAGATATTGGTCAATCACCAGTGACTTTAAACAAGGAAGTGGATGGATTTTTGCTCAACAGAATACAATATGCAATTATAATGGAGGGATGGAGACTCGTCGAGGTAAATGACCCCCCTCTTCTTCAAAATTCCCTTCAAGATAAACGTAGCTGAACCCCTCCCCACCCCCCGTTATTTTGAAATACAGTTGTAACTTTGCTAGTTTAAAGATGCCATGTAATACATTTTCCACAGTTTATGTTTTTAATGATGAACTTCATTAATCAACTTCACATTTTTCTACATTTTGTCTTATATGGATAATATATGTAAGTTGAAGTATTCGTTGCTTTGTGAGCATGTCAAGCAATCATCATACAGTCAAACTCGATGTGATGGAGGCCCGTTTTGATTGAATGAAATATGAAGTTTGTAGCGAATATTTGACCTTGCAAAGCAGTGTTAAACCCGTAGCGGAAAAGTAAAGTGAATCTGAATAACAAAGCTGTAAATTGTTTTGACATTTCAAACACAGTTCTAGTTTCTTTCATATCTTAATGTCATAGATAATAACATCACGTTGTTGTGATGTACTAAGGTATAGTAACAAGATAATCATTGTCTTCAATGTTCTACAAAGTGAACTACAAGATCAACTGTGGACAATGATTATATTTGAAGTCACAGTTCTAGTTTATTTCATAACTTAATATCATAACTTAATATGTCTTTGGTTCTTTAACAATGAAATTGAATCAATATAGTTATGTTTCAATTTACTTTGAAAGGATGGACTTTGTTCTCCTGAAGATGTTGATACAGTGATGAGCAAGGGACTGGGTCTGAGATATTCGTTTATGGGACCATTTGAAACCATGCATCTAAATGCTCCTAAAGGTTTGTGACATTTATATTGAACGTGAATATCTTAGGAAAGTAAGAACATGAATATCTTAGGAAAGTGAGAACATGAATACCTTAGGACACAGAGAACATGAATATCTTAGGAAACAGAGAACATGAATACCTTAGGACACAGAGAACATGAATACCTTAGGACACAGAGAACATGAATATCTTAGGAAACATTGAACATGAATATCTTAGGAAACATTGAACATGAATACCTTAGGAAACATAGAACATGAATATCTTAGGAAACAGAGAACATGAATATCTTATGAAACAGAGAACATGAATACCTTAGGAAACATTGAACATGAATGCATCTTAGAAACAGAGAACATGAATATCTTAGGAGAGCAGAGAACATGAATATCTTGGGAGACAGAGAACATGAATATCTTAGGAAACATTGATGAGACATGAATATCTTAGGAGAGAACAGAGAACATGAATATCTTAGGAAACAGAGAACATGAATATCTTAGGACACAGAGAACATGAATATCTTAGGAAACATTGAACATGAATA